ATTATGCCGGGAGCGCATTTCGTGGATACCCCGACAATTCTCAAGGGGAGATGAACTCATTTTGCCCGAGCCACCCTTATTCCACACCCCAATGTGATTATTATGATCACTACCCGGCTTATGACAAGACGCCTCTCTACTATCTTCCACCTCCCGGTTCTTATGATGTTATGCCTCCACCCGAGCCGACTCGGGCCCCTCCAACCGACTTAGAAAAGATCGTGGCAAAAGTGGAGGAGGACGCTCAATACCTTCGTGCTTCATTGGCCTCTCTATCCGAAAAAGAAGAAACCGAATCCTTCACTTCTCCCTCTCCGGCATTTGAGCACCCATCGGTTGGCCAACCTCGTTCATCTAGTCTTGGAGCTTCATTTCATTCCGAGGTTGGGCCGATCGATCGTCACCAAGAAGTTTTGGCGAGAACTCAAGACGCACTCGCGAGCCTCGCGTCGATCATCGAGGAGTTCAATAGTTGGAGGTGCATCCCGATTCTATCCGCTCTCCGTGCTACACTTGAGAAGTTCAACTCCACCGTGGTGTCTTTTCTCGACTTGGATTCATCTTCTATTCCGCTCGGTAGATATTCTACTCTATCGGCGAAGATTATTCGAGAGAGCACTCGATTAGAGAGCGAATTTTGGGTTATGGTGGATTGTTGTGCTTCCTTGAAAGAGAAGGGCCTCACTCCCGTGTACGATGGGACTCAACCTCTAGATACGAGTGAGGACACCGATGAGATTATTGTTGAAGAACTTCCTCCTTGTGATGACGTGGACTTACTCTACACTAGGTACGTCAAGATCTTTTTCCATTGATGGTGCTTCGGGTTTTGATTCGATTATTGAGGAGGAGAGTATGGATTCAGAAGTTGATGTTGAGGATGGATTGGGAGATAATTCAATTGAGGATTTGAGTGAGCCGAAGGGTAATGAAGGTGTTGGTGATGATGAGGAGGAGGATGATGATGGTAGTGAGGAGAAATCCGAGCATTTAGATGATGTTGTTGAGCCGGATGTGCCGTGTGTGGATGAGATGCATTGGGATGATGAGAATGAGGTGGTTCTTATGTCCTTTGGGGCGTTGTTTCGTATTATTGAGGATCGTGACCATTTGGAGGAGTTTAGTGTGCCTACGTCCGTGCTCCCGATGTTTGAGCTTGATGAGTACACGTTCGAGATAGTGCAAAAGATGCCCGGGATTGATTCAACGTGCTCCACGGATATATTCATATTTTTGGAGGTCGACTATGGGGCCGTGATGCGTAAAGATTTATCTCTCCTCTTGTTGGTTGTCGAAATCTGTGCTCGGTTTCACAAGAATGCGGCCACGAGAGCTTACCTTGCCCGCCTTTGTTCCGTGCTACCGGATCGGCTTCTCTTGGAAAATACAAAGACGTGGCACGATCGACCTTTTTTCT